TCGCCCCCGATATCATGTTTTCGGGGGCTCTTTTTGGCATTTCGGGGCAAATCGCCCGCCGCCCTGTGTTTTTTGGTGTGTTGCCATATGGTGTAGTGATAAGCTAGCAATGCGACTGTCATTTCAACCTTCCATTGTATAGTGACTGCAAAAGAGAACTTACTTGAAGCAGAATAGCACCGAAGAACGTACGTCCGTACGTTTGTTATCAGCATTCCATTCATGGACACAACATGCAGACCCATTTGTATGAGCACATTCTGGAAAAAAACACGCCACGTCTAAGTGCTCAACTCTAGCTCGAAACTGGCTAAACATCCAATTAATGCCAATGAAGTGCTGACAAAATAAAAACAAGTACTATACTCTATAGTCGCACATAAAAAGCATTTTACATATATTGCTATATTTCTACGTGATCTTAAAATTAATTAAAAGAAAAAATGTTATAAACTTACCTGCATAGAAAAGTCTGTTGTGATGCATCCAACTTGTACATTAGCTTTTAATTCTTCTCCCTCTGCTTCCATTTTTACTTTCTTAATGTTATCTATAATAAAGAGAAACAAGAGTAAATAAATCGGCAGAATGACATGCTCAGCTACTATTATACCTGCTTCTACCATTGCTACAATAATGACCATTAGTATCCCTACTTAATCCAAGTCTTGTTCTACATCATCAGCTATAATGCTACAATGCCACCACAGTGTTGCAGTACGCGCTGCCGGCGCCGCGCGGGGGCAAGCACGGCGTCAACCCGCTGCTCTGCGAGGACCAGCGCGTGCCGCACAACCGACAAGGCCGCAAGGCCGCCGAGCGCGTCGACCCGCTCGCCACCAACTACTCGGTGCGCGCCTCGCCGTTCGCGACGCGCGACGTGACCAGCCGCGCCGCGCAGCTCCACCAGCAGGGCGCCGCCGGTGGCACCACCGAGTCGTGGATGCGCCGCAACCCGAACGATTCGCGCCGTCGCATCGGGAAGAAGAAGAAGATGAAGGGTTAGGCGACGCAGCCTCCCGCGGGGTGACGTCGCGGCGGGGATTTTGGCGTCGCGTCCGTGACGACGGCGTCGGCGTCGTTCGTGTTGCTGTGAGAGACGAGCGATGTGCGGTTGTCGCGCTAGCATGTTTATCAATAAAAACCTCCGCGTTCTGTCTCCGCTTATTATTGCATTGAGCGATTGTACAGCGAGGCATCTGTAGCCTGTAGGGTTAATGTTCGTTGCAGCATCATTCGAGCGTCGTCGTGTAAACAGTTGAGCTGCAAGCAGCTGGATGCCACTAATGAGGTTATACCGCGAGACACATGCTGCGCGCTTGGCATCTTCAGTTGTTCAGTCCTGCTGTCGGGCTTCTGCCGTCGCTCCCGAGCAAACAAATCTGAATTGGCATCGAGTCTTTTGTAAAGTACGGCCGCTTGCTGCGTGACCGTGTTGAGAAAGTTCGTATGGTTGAGTAGCGGACGAGACTAGTCACAGTAGCTGGGATGCGTGTCTCGTGTGCGTGTGCATGTGTGTGCGTTAGAATGAGTGTGTGCGTGACTCACGTGCAGCTGAACAGTTTTACCAATGTGACTCACGTCGGCTCACAGGGAACTTTCCTCTCCCAATTGCATACCTACCATGAGATAAGATTTAGTTTGCACTCGGGAGGGAAAAGTAAGTGTGGGGGGATGCGAGTGCGTAATGATGATGTTGAGTCACTGACTGCGTGGTCTGTGTATGATCAGCCGTGGTTGCTGCTGCTGCGAGATTAGGATGAAGATGCTTCTATTCCCGGAAGACACGAGATGCAAGCATAGTCGATTCGTTTGTTATCAGGCACGCAGGAACAATTTTGCTTTTGATGAAATCGTTCCGACAAATTAAGACGGATTTTGCCCATTAATCTTGCGTTGTGATGATGCTCACAATGAACTGATCCTTTACGAGTTATTTATCTACAAATCCCCATTGTTGATGTGAAACGAAACTTCCTACGCAGAAAATTAATAACGAACAGTTTCCAGATTAGGTATTGTGGCATGGAACTCTGTGCACAGCGGGAAGATAGAGGAAGTTTGTTCACAGTCCCGCCCACATGAATCGATGGCATGTAAGAAATGACTCTGCTGCGCCTGCAGCGTGTTTGAGGCATATATTATTTATAGCTGCGTTGAAGCTGCGTGCAACCATTAGCAGTCTCTCGAGAAAGTGAGAAGCCTTTGTGCAGCAGCTTCCTCGTGATTTTTTAGGCGCGAAATGTGCGAGGCTCTGTGGGAGTTGAGAAATGTGGAAGCTGAATAAGAAAGTGAACCTGAAAAAAGGGTTAAAATTAGCCCTGCTTGCGTTTGTGGTGGGTGATGGCGAAAACTGTCAAAATATATTGAAATATTACAAATACTACAATTGTTTCCTGTGTATGTATTGTGTAGCATGTCGTATGTATGTGGCACATGTGTGCGGTGTACGTATGTATACGCCATGGATAATATAATTAATATTTTTATACTAAATATCAAGGGCACATAAACCCTTATTATTATTATCATCATTATTATTATTGGTTTCTGGTGCTCTTGATAATATATAATATAGATAATGTAATGAACATCTTACAATTATCTATACTCACAACTGCAGTTTGCTCGCGGTTGGGTGTATTGAATAAAAGCGCATTACGGAGAAATTTCGCAAGACGCATGCAAGCTATGCTGCATCGTCCACTGTCTCTGCTATTTCTTAGCATACATTTGCAAGTGCATAATTTAATGAGGTGCAAAATTCAATTTTACACTCTAGACTTTTCAATGAGGTGTTGCACTTAAGCAAACGCAATTGCGGCACGAGTGAATTTTCCGGCCGGTTTAAAGTCAACTCGGCATGCATCCGGATTCGTTAGATGCTAGCGAATGAATGTTTGTTTTCGTACGCGCAATAGTAGGAGAAATGTTGGACGTTTATTTTCGTAGAAATGCGAAATTTTGACAACATATTAGCGTTTACACTGCTGCAGAACGTTTTTTTTTTAATTGGTGTACCGACTGATTTTCGCACGTTCGTGTTACTGCCCATTCAAAAGTAGGCTACTGTGTGCTTACATAATACACGCAGTCACCGACCTCTAAACACCGATAGAAAATTGCGCGGACTCTCTGTACGTGTAAAATTCTTAATTTCGCGGTTATACCGCGTGGCGGCGCCACAATGTCTACGCAGACGCAAGGTTCCGCGACTCGCCGATTCGAGCCCGATATCAACTGTTTACCGTCAGCTGCCACAAGCCGCTACGGCAGGTTAATGTCAGAGACAGATTGGCCAGCGTGTGCGCAGCCGAATCGCACAGAAACTCCGCAGCGTCCCCATCAGTACCAACAGGTTGATACTCGCCTCGACGGATCTAGATTGAGAGAGAGAGAGAGCGTGCGCGCGTATTTCCCCGGGGTGGAAGCGAACGTCCGCGCGCATTTATAGCTCATCGATCAACGTGACTCGTGTATCGGAAACTGCTATCGATCTCGGCTCGCGACGCTGCTAATACGGTTAGAGCGCTCGTGTAGCTGAGTTCACTACTGATTAGTTGTGTTCGGTCACCGCTACCAGCGCGTCTGTGCGGTCCCCGCTACCAGCGCGTCTGTGTGGTCCCCGCTACCAGCGCGTCTGTGCGGTCACCGCTACCAGCGCGTCTGTTCGGTCACCGCTACCAGCGCGTCTGTGCGGTCACCGCTACCAGCGCGTCTGTTCGGTCCCCGCTACCAGCGCGTCTGTGCGGTCACCGCTACCAGCGCGTCTGTGCGGTCCCCGCTACCAGCGCGTCTGTGCGGTCACCGCTACCACCAGCGCGTCTTTGCGGTCCCCGCTACCAGCGCGTCTGTGTGGTCCCGCTGCGGCTGGTCGTTGTGCGTGAAGAAGGACGCAGTAATGTGCGTCCATCCAAGCCGCTGATCACTGCCGTCTACTATATCGGTGCCGGTGTCGCCGCCGCCACCGCCGCCGCCGCCGCTGCTGCTGCTGCTGCCTCGTGGACGACTGAGTGAGTCGGGGTGGGCGCAGAGCGCTGCATGTGACCGGCCGCGGCGAACCGGGAAATGCGTGTGCTGCCGCCACGGCGAGCTGCGAGCGGGGCCCGGCGCGATCATCACCAGCAGCAGCACTAGCACTAGCTGCGTGCGTGCGTGCGTGCGTGCGTGCAACACTCCGCCAGCCGTGCCGCGACCAGAGCAGCAGCCGCACGGACATGATCGCTAGCCGTCACCGCCACACATGCTGCGAGACCCGGCATCACGACCCACCCAAATGAATGGGGGTCGTTTCGACTTCGATGACGGCGGCACGTACTGTGGTGGCTGGGAGGACGGCAAGGCCCACGGGCACGGCGTCTGCACGGGTCCGAAGGGCCAGGGAGAGTACTCCGGCTCGTGGCACTACGGCTTCGAGGTCTCCGGTGTCTACACGTGGCCCAACGGCAATACCTACGAGGGCCAGTGGCAGAAGGGCAAGCGTCACAATCTCGGCATAGAGAGCAAAGGCCGGTGGGTGTACAAAGGAGAATGGACGCAGGGTCTGAAGGGCCGCTACGGCATACGTGAGAGCTTGACGTCGGGAGCGAAGTACGAGGGAACGTGGGCGAACGGACTGCAGGATGGCTACGGTCAGGAGACGTACGCCGACGGTGGTGAGTATGTCTCCGTATCTATGTCACGCCGTACGACCACGCCCTTGACCGCATCCCCGCCCGCCGCTCTACTATTGCGTGCCGCTACGCCACGGAACGATGCTAATGGCTGAAAATACGCAGCCGCCCAGTATGTAGCCCGGTAGTCGTTAGGCCGGTGGTTAGACAGTCGTTAGGTTGGTGGTTAGGCAGTCATTAGGCCGGTGGTTAGACAGTCATTAGGCCGGTGGTTAGGCAGTCATTAGGCCGGTGGTTAGGCAGTCATTAGGCTGGTGGTCAGTCTGATGTACGTGTTTTCGTACACGTGTTCTCAGTCTGCCTGCAGTGAGATGTGCGGTGTTTCAGGGTAAAGTCGTATCCGATGAGAAGGTCGTACAGGAACCTCGCGAGGAAGAGGCTGAATCGTCGCACGCCGACGAGGCATCCCGCGACGACGCCGCCGTCGATACAAATGAACTCGTGTCGACGTTGACTGGCATTCGTCTGCGACCGGCAGGCAGCTGCGGTGATGCAGCAGACACGGCGGAGCATCAGGGAAGGTTGGTCTGCACAGACGATGCCCACGAATCTCAGGAGGTGGCCGCAGTGGTGCCACCTGGAGGGGAACCTGTGCAGGAGTGTGAGCAGGTTGTCGGGGATGACAGTCAGACGGATCAGTTTGTGGATGGTGCGGTAGAGCAGTCTTCACAGAGCGGGGATGAGGATGAGGAGGCTGACAAGGAGGATGAAGATGAAGGGGTGGACCTAAGTGGAGAAGATGAAGAAGCAGACAAAGCGGACGAGGACGATTCTGGGTGGATCACGCCAGGCATGTTGTTTTTATCATGTGAAATATCTAATGTCTTGATGTTTATTTGTTTGACTGTGGTGGTAGCTCAAGATGTCATGTGACTTGTGATTAGCTGTTCACCATTATGTGTATATGTGCTCCAAACAAGTACTTTTTGAAATTTGTGTCAGAGCTATTGCATTTCATCATTGTTTGAAGCAATTGACATCCGATCTGGTAATTTATGTGAACTTAATGACACCAGAAAATGGAAAGATTGACTGTGTGGCATTGTAGCATTATAGCTGATGATGTAGAGCAAGACTTGGATTAAGTAGGGAGTACTAATGGTCATTATTGTAGCAATGGTAGCAGCAGGTATAATAGTAGCTGAGCACTGTCATTCTGCCGTATTTATTTACTCTTGTTTTCTTTTATTATAGATAACATTAAGAAAGTAAAAATGGAAGCAGAGGGAGAAGAATTAAAAGCTAATGTACAAGTTGGATGCATCACAACAGACTTTTCTATGCAGGTAAGTTTATAACATTTTTTCTTTTAATTAATTTTTAAGATCACGTAGAAATATAGCAATATATGTAAAATGCTTTTTATGTGCGACTATAGAGTATAGTACTTGTTTTATTTTGTCACACTTCATTGGCATTAATTGGATGTTTAGCCAGTTTCGAGCTAGAGTTGAGCACTTAGACGTGTGTGTTTTTTTCCAGAATGTGCTCATACAAATGGGTCTGCATGTTGTGTCCATGAATGGAATGCTGATAACGAACGTACGGACGTACGTTCTTCGGTGCTATTCCTGCTTCAAGTAAGTTCTCTTTTGCAGTCACTATACAATGGAAGGTTGAAATGACAGTCGCATTGCTAGCTTATCACTACACCATATGGCACACACCAAAATACACGGGGGCGGCGGGCGATTTCGCCCCCGAAATGCCAAAAAGAGCCCCCGAAAACATGATATCGGGGGCGACCCCAAAAGAAAAAGTCGCCCTGGAAATCGGTCCCGCGCCTTGCCGCTCTCGCTCGGCGTTGCTGCGCTGCGATGCCTAGGCCTCTGCCGCTAGCGGCAGCCGGTTCCACGGCGCGGTAGAATTCATGGTACGGTCACTACGGTGTGACTGTCAAGTGTTTACCATTTAAGCATGCATGTGTGATTGTGTGTACTGTACTGTATCGCATTCAATCAAGCGCGCGCGTATATACGTGTATGCGTGTGCGCGTGCTTGCGTGTGTGCCTGTGCACGTGCGTGCGTGCGTGCGTGCCTGTGTGTGCCAGTGTGCCTGCGGGCATGCTTGCATGTGTGCCTGCGCGCGCGTGCGTGCGTGCGTGCGTGCGTGCGTGCGTGCGTGCGTGCATGCCTGTGTGAGCCGGTGTGCCTGCGGGCGTGCTTGCGTGCCTGCGCGCGTGCTTGTGCGTGTGCCTGCGCGCGTGCGTGCCTGCATGCGTGCGTGCCTGCATGCGTGCGTGCGTGTGTGCGGGTATGCCTGCGGGCGTGCCTACGTAGACCCGTAGGACCAATGACCCGTAGGATTATAGAACGGTAATCCATGGAAAATCCTAATGAAATTCACACGTATATTTTTCCCTGCCGGCACACTCGTGTGTCATTCCCGATTGTAGCTTTTTTATGGAGATGAGAGGGATGCTGCATGGAGAGGAGAGGGATGCTGTATGGGGAGGAGAGGGATGCTGTATGGAGAGAGAAGAGGGATGCTGTGTGAAGAGAGAAGTAATGCTGTATTGAGAGGAGAGAGATGGTTGTTTGTAGAGGACGAAAGGGATGTTGTATGGAGCGGATGGGGATGCTGTGTGTAGAAGAAAGAGGCGATGCGGGAAGGGGAAAAAAGGGTTGCAGACGAACACAGAGTAGGGTGTGGAGTGCACTCCTTATCTCGTGTGAAGCCCGCTGCGGACATGCCACGTACAGTCAGAACTGAATCACGCGACGTCTATCTGAATAATATAATAATAATAATGATTATAATTATGTATTGTTTATTAGTTATATACAGGGGCGGATCCAGGATTTTGTGATAGGGGGGCCGAAGTGTGTAAGACGTCGTTGAGTAGGGGGGGCATCACCTCCGGAAAAATTTTGAATTCTAGAAGGCAGGAGATGCGTTCTCTCGCCTTTTAACTACCAAATGTATCTTCATGAATATTTCAAAATTACGCATTTTTATTGGTAGCATCTGTCACATTGGACTTGCTAAGTCTCTTTCTTAATTTTTTTTTGTGAGAAAAATAAAGCTTACCTTTTACTGGTAATTCTGTAGTTGATCTGTTGTGTTAATTATTATCGCGCGCGCTCACTAAATGTGTGTTATCTTGTAGTGACTTGAATTATGTGTTACCGTATACAGGTAAAACTATATAGTGAACTAAAGTCAGAGTACTGAAAGTCAGAATCTGAAAGGTTTTCGAAAATATTCAAGGAAAAACATAGAAAAACATATATTTCACGAAAATAGACTCAAACGATTGCCGCGAAATTAGGCACGAGCGAAAATATGTGCTGGTAATGTATAACATGTCTCAATCAGCGTCACGTGCACTGATATAGTATCAGCCACAAAAAGGCACAGATCAATATTGCAGAAACCCTTTAATTTATATCATGTCACTGCTGCAGAGAACCTCGAGAGACTTAGGCCTACTAACAGGGATGAATCGTTACACCGAACTGGTCCCACACGTGTCATCGTCTGTTCGTAGGGCAGGCTGCTTCCAGTGAAATCAGTCCAGGGAAAAAACACGAAACGAAATACCGCAAATGGTGTAACTATGTATCTGTGTGACGCGTACCGTTTTAAGTATGCTCTCTCTCTTCTTTTTTTTGCCTGAACTTAAAGGGGGGGCCGGAGCCGGGTCGGCCCCCCCCCCTAAATCCGCCGCTGATATATCACAATCATACACAGTAAGGGGCAAGGCGTATATAATTAACAAGTGAGTCATGTTGATTAAGGTGAAATAACGTTCATGCGTTTTTAACAAATAATAGCAATCGTCAAAATTCTTGCGCATCTCGACCATATATGCTGCTCTACGGTTTCTACGATGGCAGCCTTCAATCGCTTGTATTCGCGCCACGCAGGGGGTGTGTTTACAACATATTCAGAGCCATTATATACACTGGTCTACCCCGCGTAGGTCATCGACAAAGATAGCATATGTGTGCCGTCATCAACATACTTACGGCTCAGCGTCATGTTAGACGATTCCAACACCGCCGTGCGTGTACCCTCGACGCCCTGCAGAAATATATATGTAGACGATTCCTGCGATTTATTTGACCTGCGGATTAGTTACAAGCGGAGATTTCTTATTATTAAGTTTAATGATGATGATGCTATGATGATGATCTCGAGCCGAGCGCTCGGGGTTGTTAACTGCACCCGTGGCATCATCGCACTCTCCTCTACTCTTCATTTGATTTAGAACTTCATTAGGTGTCTCACGGCGCGCCTGTCTGACTCACGCTGACGTATATATATACGTCTCCCCGACGTGCTTGCCCGCACGCGCCCAGCCGACTACGAAACGCCATCATAGACCCACCCCCACGGATATCACGATGAGTTTAACCGGCAGTATTAAGCCGACAGCTCGAGACACGTATGACCGTTTTTTTTATGAACGACGACATTTTTATGGCTCGTGCGAGACCCTACCAGCTGCGCGTCGAAGTTAGTTAACCTCCAGTGAAACGAATTTCATGTCGAAGCGCGTGATTGGCAGAAAATGTTTTATGACGCGTTTATATAGAAGCCAACGGTGCAACCGCATAAATGAGCATGGGAAAGTAATCAAGATTCAAGATTCAACGTTTTTTTTATTTGTGTTTGAGATGTTGGCAAACAATATACATCGTTAAAAAACGAAATACTATGAAAAAGTAGAATTTATATATATTTAAGCAGAAGAGTTGCAACGAATACGCCTGTAATCATAGTCTGCTGTCCCCTACACATAACGTAACAATGAACAGGCTGATTTATAGATACGTCAGAAATGGAAATTAAATTAAAGGTGGTTGATTCTTCATTCTGCAGTAAATGACTCATGTCCTTCTGTAAAAAGGTAACATATTATATGAAATATTCATAATATATTCATATTATTATGAATATATTCATTTGAACATATTGAATTATATATTCATAACATCAAGAGCTAATAATAACAGGTATTATTAGCTCTTGATAACATATATATGAAATATTATATGAAATATACTGTGTTAAACAAATATGTATATGTATATGTAGGAAATATGTATAGGCCTATGTATATGTATGTGTATATATATATATATATATATATATATATATATATACAACAATATAATGATGGACATGTTGTATGTTGCATCAACGGGCAGGAATAAGATGAAGAGCAACTTCAAATTACTTTGTTACAAAAATATATTGAAGGTCTCTTGAATTGATTGATTGAATTTACATAATCAGAACAACTTTTTATAGAATTTTGCAATGACAGCAGAGTGAACATCAGCAAAACTAAAGACACAGACGACATCCAAGACTAAAAAATGAGTTACTAACAAAGCTGAGTTCAAAATGTATTTCGGGTCAAAATCTTACAGGCATTGACTTCTCATTATACAAATAATTTACATGCAGCACGCAACATTTTTATCATTAGTACCTATTGAACATGACAACAAACCAGGGTCGTAGCCTGCGGGGGGGGGCAAGGGGGCAGCTGCCCCCCTAGATTTTGGAGCAAATTAAAAAAATAATTTTTCTACTAAAAGAGAATTGTCGGAGTCAGAATGAAGGCTGTACATGTACTCAAAAGTGCCTCAAATACCATCTCCTGCGATCTACATTTTCAAAATTTTCTGGGGGAGGACCCACAGACCCCCCACCTATTTCTCACCCTCTCCTGGAAATCGTGGATCCGGCACTGCCCCCTCCCCCCTAGGCATTTGCTCAGCCTACGGCCCTGCAAACTAAGATAACTAGCAAATACAGAAGGGATCTCCGATTTAACCGCAAAACCCGTAAACCCCCAAATTCATCACGAAAACAAAGCGGACAATTCAGCAGAGGCGAGATAACACAACATAAGTATAGCATCCTAGTAGAAAATATACCAGCTAGTAGTATAAGAGGACTATCCATCACAAAATAAAGAGAACAATTCCAACAAAACAAAGCAATTCAGTAGAAATAGAGTACACGATGCAGTACGGCATCATGACAAATGAAATACTAGGTACGGCAGTGAGGATATTTCTGCGCGAACGTTTGAATTTAGAATGAGTAGGCTATTTATATATATTCTCATATCACGCTATGGCTTTACGCAAACGAATTTTAGTCAGTTCTTTTCTCGAGGGTGGATCGAGCTGAGTCTCGGTAAATGATAAGGAAATGCTGCTGAGAGTTGAGCATCATGAGAGCGTACCTGAGAGGTTCCAGTGAAATAATTTTGGAAGAAGTCAGGGGTATAATTGTAGGTATATTGGTAGTAATATAGGATGTAATGTGATATCTCATCTAAGCAAAGCTAATATGTCTGATAATAATGTTAGTCGTTAATTAGTGTAGAATATATGCCGTGTGTTTTATTGATTTGCTACATATGGTGCTATTGGTTACCGATCCATATGTAATCAAGCTTGATGTAATGGTCAGGCGTGATGTAATGGATGTAACATACAGGAACACGAAAGGAAATTATACAACATTAGTATCTTAGAATAAACATATTGCCCATGTTTGGAAAGCGTGCTGAGACTCGGCTAATTTAGTACGAAAATTTTTAACCTGAAAGTC